AACCATATAACCAAAAATAAGAATTAACCTTTTTTGGTTCAGTCACCAACAAACAAAAAATCAGACTTCCTTTTAATTAAAAAGTGCCCACCTTTGTAAAATAACCAAACAAAAAGGTACCTGTTGTGATTTAATCCTAATGTTACATCAGGCTTCAAAGGGAACCAATAATGGGAATTGGCCGGAAAAGAAAGAGGAATCGGTGCTTTACAAACACTAGGCTGTCAGGACATTATGGGCAGGAGGTTCATGCGGTTGCGTCGTTTTCATTTTAGCTCCTAGTGGCCAAAAGGTCAGCTGTTCAGTAAAGCACTGAGCTAAATAAAACTATGAGCTCAGCAAACTGTGAAAGGACACATGCTGCCTTCTGCACCAATGGAGGCAGCAAGGGACATGATTACCCAAGCTCTGTTTCATCACTCATTTAATCTGCAACTTCAATTCACGGCCCCCCCAAAAAAAGAAAAAACATTTAAAGAATCTCATAAAGCCGATATATAGCAGAAATCCCCCCCTAGGAATCAGAAATGAAGCCGTAAAGTATAAACAAGGCGTAGTTTCTGTTGAGGCTTCCTACCGACTAATAGCGAAACTTTTCCAACAAGAGTAGCTAGCATGGAGGAAAATAAAGCCGTTTAGTTAAATGCGAGTTGACAAAACTCAACAAAAAAAACATATTCTACCAAAAATGCTGAAAAACAAACAACAAAAAAAGCCACGGTGTCGTTAACGTCACTGTTAGTTTCTTATTAGATAAGCTAAAGTTGCTAACTCTTTAGAACTGCTATGCTAACGTGTTAGCTTGGGGGCTAATCAAACCGTAACAAACTACAAACACAATCCAGAAGATGTAGAAAAGTAATCGGTTATATCACTCTTAGATAACTACATAAAACAACTACTGTCTGCTGAACAGTCGGCGGTCTGATTCAGCAAGTACTCGGCGGGAAAAATGCAAAATATGCCAAATATCCCAAAACTTCCAGCATACACGTAGCGAAGCAGCAGCGGCGGCGGCGGCGGCGGCATGAAAAAGTTGCAGCACAACAAAGAAGGAGATCTGGGAGCTGCTCTCACCTCACAACGGCTTCCCCGCTCCGCTTTCACTGGGACCAACTTCCCTCAGACGAACCAGCTTCTACAAAAACATAGCTCCGAAATTAAACGATAAAAAACAGACATTGACAGAAGTAAATTTTTTAAAAAAGTAGGATGTAAATTAGAAATTTGGTATGAAATCAGCGCTCGGGAAGAAAAAACGCGCAGAGGCGTGGCGACGAAACACACGACAAGCAAAAGTTTTGTGGCTTCCAGCGCAAACTCCTCCCATCGCGGAATGGGAGACTCCTGGTTATAGAAGAAGAAACACAGGCATTAAAGGCGAGTTTATACTCAATAAACCCGCTGCTTGAATTCATCTGAGAAGGAAACCCTATTATACAAATTAACTTTGATGGCGGAGCTTAAAGGAGGGAAAGATGGGATGATATGGAATAAATTATGGCAGGGAAGAGTGAAGGACACCATGAAAGAAAGGAGGGACACAAATAGGCCGGATAAGATATCAAAGTAAGGGCAAATGGAAGAAAGAAGGGAAAAAGAGGGGGAGGGGATAAGGAATGAAGAAGGAAAGGTGGGAGGGAGGAGGCATAAAAGGAAGGATAGAAGGAAGACATTTAAATAATAGAGTAAGAAAAAAAATCTTGTTATATTTTTCCTTTTTTACAGTTTAAAATCAAGAATTATTCAAGTCAATTTTTTTTCTTGTTTTACTTTTTTTCTGTGTCCAGTGTGTAATATATATGGAAGAGGATTGGGGCCACTGAAAAAAAAAGTTAACTGATTTTTAAATTTTATGTCAGTTTAATATGGCGAAAAAAGTCAAAATTCTGAGAAAAAAGTCAGAATTCTGAGAAGAAAAGTCAGAAATCTGAGAAAAAAGTCAGAAATCACACAAAAAAGTCAGAATTCTGAGAATAAAAGTCAGAATTCCTAGATTAAAGTCAATCTTCTGAGAAAAAAGTCAGAAATCTGAGATTAAAGTCAGAATTCTGAGAAGAAAAGTCAGAATTCTGAGAAAAAATCAGAATTCAGAGAAAAAAGTCAGAATTCTGTAAAAAACAGTCACAATTCTGAGAAAAAAGTCAGAAATCTACAAAAAGTCAGAACTCTGAGGGAAAAAAGTCAGAATTCTGAGAAGAAAAGTCAGAAATCGGAGAAAAAAGTCATAAATCACACAAAAAAGTCAGAATTCTGAGAATAAAAGTCAGAATTCTGAGAAAAAAGTCAGAATTCCTAGATTAAAGTCAAAATTCTGAGAAAAAAGTCAGAAATCTGAGAATAAATCAGAATGCTGAGATTACAGTCAGAAATCTGAGAATAAATCAGAATTCAGAGAAAAAAGTCAGAATTCTGTAAAAAACAGTCACAATTCTGAGAAAAAAGTCAGAAATCTACAAAAAGTCAGAACTCTGAGGGAAAAAAGTCAGAATTCTGAGAAAAAAAGTCAGAATTCCTAGATTAAAGTCAAAATTCTGAGAAAAAAGTCAGAAATCTGAGAATAAATCAGAATGCTGAGATTACAGTCAGAAATCTGAGGAAAAAGTCAGAATTCTGCAAAAAGTCAGAACTCTGAGGAAAAAAAAGTCAGAAATCTGATTAAAAAAGTCAGAATTCTGAGAAGAAAAGTCACATTTCTGAGAAAAAAGTCAGAAATCTACAAAAAGTCAGAACTCTGAGGGAAAAAAAGTCAAAAATTGGATAAAAAAGTCAGAAGTTGGTCAAAAAAGTCAGAATTCTGAGAAAAAAGTCAGAATTCTGTGAATACAGTCAGAAATCTGAGGAAAAAGTCAGGAGTGTGAGAAAAAAAGTCAGAATTCTGATATTAAACTAAATTTTTTTAATATTAGTATTAAACTGAAGCATAAAAATTAAAGAATCTGTTATCTTATTTTATTTTTTCAGTGGCCCTAATCCTCTTCCGTAGATAGACACTAAGTGGGCCCTAGAAACATTTTCCACTTCAATCCTTCCGTGTGACCTTTCTACCTTGCTACCATGTTCTCTTTCTGTTTTTCTTTCCTTGTGTCCTACATCCTTTCCTAAAGTTTTAATCATGATGGCGGGAAGGAGCCAAGTTTAAGCCTCACAGGTTGTACATTATTTTGTTAAGAATTATTTGCAAAAAAGACCAAATCTATAAACACATGCTTTGGCTGTCAACATAAGTAGAAATGTGTGAAGATTTAATTTAATCAATATCTGTACTTTGAACTTATCAATGGTAATTCTGTTTTTAAATGGTTTAGGGCATGTGTACTATATTGGCAGTTTCCCGATAAACAACTTTAATTTTGAAATTGATATAAGTAAGAAATCAAGTGCTCTCAGGGGGGCCTCTGAGATATGCAGCTCTTAGCTGCTTCTTGGTTTGCTTCTACCTTTAGTCACCAGAACATTTATATTTATTGTCATTTTTATATTTCTATGTTTCAAATGTCTCCACTGAGAACAAAGTAAAATGAAAGTCCAATTTCTTCAATGCAAAATTATCTAAAGATAAATGATAATTTCTTAAATTAAGTCTGTTTGCTCTTAATCTGAGCATGTAAATAAGATGTTTTTCCAATGGAAATAGCATTTTTGCCCTTACAGTAAGAGAATTAAATATTATGCACTTGAAATAAGACAATGCAGCTTTTTTCCTTATTTTAAATGTAGGCGTTCGTATTCCATTAGCAAAGAGTCACTTATTTTAAGGAAAACAGACTTACCTAGGTTTTTTATTTTTGTACTTTTGCTTATGTGGATAACACTTCGCGAATAAAGCTGATTCTTTTCATTCTGATTCTGACAGAAGGGTCTGAATACATTTATCAATGACATGCACTTACAACACAGTTACAGTTACTTTATTTTGTGCCAAATTTTAAAAATTGTTCCTCAGTTAAGAAACACTTATTGTTGGCAAACCAAAGGACTGAAACTAACTTGATTCTGCTGGTGTCTGACATGTGGAAACATATCTGAAACTGAACCTGCCTTTACAAACGTTTCCCATATAGTAAGGTTCGCTAGACTTTTTTTCTTTCTTTCTCTTTTTTGTCTTTGAAGCCCCAAGACATACTTAATTAGGTTCTAAGTATTTGTTTAAAACATGCCAAGTTCATTTTCCGGCAAGGCACAAGAATAAGTTGAAGCCTGTCTTCTAGTATGTCAAACTTGTTAACTTGCTTTGAAAATGTCTGAAAGACTTTTTGGAAGAGAACTTCTAATGTAACGTCAGTTAAACTTCTCTTTTAGACATAAAGATAAAAATAAAGATAAAAGTTGAACTGTTGTGCTTCTTCACCTCCTTATATCTTGGCAGGTAGCTCTTTCCCTTCTTGCTAAGTACCTAATTTGGTTAACATGTTTGATCATTTGCTGACAATACTGCAATGCTATTCATAATAAAATTAAATACATTTATTTGAAACTTATAAAATCACAAAGAGAATTCATCCTAACCTAATAGATAACATAATTTATTGACCAGTTTCTTATGGTGGTTCTATAGAGCTACACTGAAATCTTCCTAAACATTGCAAGTGTAGTTTGTTCTTGTTTTAATGTTTTTAAAGAAAAGGTAAATTATAATTGTGGTTAAAAGATGCATTTTATTAAATTTTTAACAGACTCAATTTACACTCTGGAACTTTAATATAAGGATGGACGTGTTGAAAATTACAAGCTGTATTTAGAAATCTCAGCCACTAGGTGGCAGACTCGAGCTTTCAACAAGCACGTGGCCGATAGCCACTAGGGCCGCAAACCTGAATGTGTCTAATGAAAAAAAACAAGAAGCATGTTTCATGTGTTTGCAGGTAACTTCTTACTTACGGGAATTGCATTAATGTGCATTTTGAACGGCTCATACCAAAACTTACCAAAGAATTTTCGTTTTTTAGTATTCAGGGAACTTGACAGAAATCATGGCTTTTGCTTTATTTCCTCATAGGCATCAAACCAGCTGTGAAAGGTAAGTGCAAGGTAAGTACATGGTGGTAATTTGGGTTCAAATATTTAGGTTCTTTATTTAAAAATATCAATAATTAATAGAAATATAGGCTATTAACATTTATGGTCTGATTGTGAAAAATGAACTAATGTCTTGAATGTCTCTATGTTTATAGCTTTAAACTAATTAGCATTTCCTTTTATTCTTACTATTGTAGTCTATTTCTTTATTCTGTAAACTATGTCAAACCTTTCTCTTATTGGAGAAACTTGGAAGTTATAACTTATTAAGTAATTAACTTATTAAATTGTTTTTTTTTGTTCTTATTTGTCCACACTAATCCTGGATATATGTAAATATTCAGGTGATTATTATCAACCTTATTTTTCTTAAAATAACAAGTTAACCTAGTTTGCATGTGTCATTCTAACGAGCTATGACTGTACCTTTTGGCAAACATCTGATGATCATAAAGTCGTATAATTTGACAATGTGTAAAATATTATGAAATATAAATCCATATGATCAAACTATCAAGTTATACCTAATGGGAATTACCATGCTATTTGATTTCTTTTTTCTTTATTTTCTTTTTCATATTTTGCTTTGTTTTAAATTATATGATCCTACATTCTCCTATGTTTTTGGTTTTGTAATTCTATACAGAGTTAACATGCATGACACCGACTGTGACTAATGTACACATTCTACTGGAATGTACATAATTTAATATAAATCCATCTATAGGATTAGGTTGTACTTATCTGACCATTCATTTCTGAATATACAGTGAACCTATCTGTTTTTGGAAATTTGAGCTATTGTATGCATACAAAAATTTATTTAATTGAGACAGTTGTAGATTACCTTGAGAAATATGAAAATGTACCACAGAATTACAGTAGAACTCTAATTGCTCTGTAAACAGTGACTCAAAATTATGTGGTCCTCTGAATATTTACTGTTTTGTACTTCTACAAAATGATGGTCTATCAGACCACATTCGATATACAGCGATCCATACAGAAATTCCATGGAATTCATTAGATACAGCTATTTAAAGGGGCAGGAGAGTTTTTTTTTGGTCCAAACTAGACTTGGACACAGCCACTCGATACCAGGAAAAACTAGACTGGGAACATGTCCATGTGTGAACTGGGTGTGATCACTAAAACACATTGTTATCATATACAGCTATCAGATCCGGTTCCAGAAAAATAAACATATCAGAGCTGGCACAACGTTTACAAACTCTACAAACTCATCTTAATCCCATTTAAGTAAATTAATAGCTGTGGTTCCAGTGCACATCTGCCTATGCAGCGTTAGAGTACAGTTTAGCTGCGACTATATTTGTCTTCTCTTCCTTCTCTCACTGGCAGAGGGACAGCAAAACCGAGAGCTGGATAAAAGCCAAAAGAGGCCGGCCTGCCGTGCAGCTGAAACTTTTACAAGCCAAGCAGGAAGAGACACGGGGACCAATCGAAAAAGAAAGGAAGAAAAAAAGTGAGACAGACATCTGGACTCTTTTCTGTTTCCTGCTTCTCTCTGTCTCTCCCTTCTTCTTATTCTTTTTTTTAAGCCATACTGTACTTGCACGCCTTCCCTGGCAGGGGGTAAATGTGGGGCTCGGGGACAGGACGGGGAAGGGGAGTGGATGGGGGGGCAGTTGGGGGGCAAGGGGCTGTCTGGGGGGTTTTGGGTTGGGGTGGGACATTGGGTTCAGAGGGTTCAGCTGAGGAGAGAAATAAATTCATAAACAACAATGGAGACGTGACGTCACGATGAGGGTCTGTCCAACCTGCTGGCTGAATCTCGGCTTCCATGGAAGAACCGGATCGTTCACACTACACGTGTTTGCGTGTGTGTACAGTATTAATGTGTGTGTGTGCTCTTTGTGCTGTTGTCCTGAAATGTCTTTTGGACTTTGAGCAGAGATACTGGACTCCAATGGTCTGTTTTGTCTCTGCTTTGAGCTTCCCAGGACGAGGGGAAGTCCTTCCAAACTCTCTGCTCTTATCTTAGTCTATTCAAAGGACTCAGTAACCATTTATCCAGCTGCTACATTAAGGAATCAGCTGCTCTGGTGTATTAATCCCAATTTTTTTTTTTCAAATAGTTGATGGTAAGTTAAAACGATAGAATTTTTTCATCCTACATTTTTTAAAACCTGGACGTACTTTAGAAGCGACTTCAGCCTTTTTCAAAATGACACAGGCTCAGGAGCGAGCTCTGATTGGCTGACTCCGTCTCGGGACAGCAGCTCAAACACCAGTGATTGGTTGGAAATGACAAAACTGACCTTGTATGAGAAAAGTGATTTATCGTTTATCTCCTAATCACTGACATGATATGCTGACTTAATCATGCTGAGTCCTGTTCCAATGTGGTTCATGCCAGAATGCAAAACGGAGATCTGAGAGGATCCCAGACTGTAGAAGAAGAAGAAGAAAAAAATGTAGTTCCTGGAATATTCTCCCTGCTCACCCACTGATTCATTTAACTGCATCTAGAAATCCCTCCCACTCAGTAGGGCACTAAAGGAGGGAGACGCTGAAAGAAACTGGGCAGCTCTGAGGTTCTGAACACTGACTCCTGCGTGACTCCTTATTTTTTACCTACGAATGCTTAAAGTTTGATTTGAATTAATTTTTTTTAAATTTCCTATTGAAATAAGAGAAGACGGAAGAAGTGTCTGGACCTGCTGGTGTGTCTCCGCCATGTGTTTTCTGATGTTGGATGATAAACATGCAAATGTTCGCCAGGGCTCCTCGCTGCTGGCTTGCTGCTTTGTGTCACACTGTCTGCTCATGACAGTTCATGCTTCCTCTCCCTCGCTTTTTCTTCTCTTTTCGTGGCACACTGTCTTTCTAAACTCCTCCTTCTCTCTCTTCCTCCTCTCACTACAGCATGTCCCCTCCCTTCCTCCTTCAATGTCCTCCCCACACCACAACCCTCCGCCGCCCGACTCTGCCCTCCCTTTTCTCTGCTTCCCTCTTGGCAGCGGTGCAAAAGTGGGCAGGCAGACGGAGGCAAACGCATCACAGGGCAGAGCAGAGGGCAAATCAAAGGCTGGCGAATTGATCATGTGTGTGTTTGTGTTTTGGACTGTCCTCTCTCTCTCTCTCTCTCTTTCTCTGCGTGTCTGTGCGCAAGTTCTCCTGTGGTCATACGCACTGCAAGTAAGGTAAGTCTTTGAGGGAGTCTCTGATTTTAAGCCCTTTTGCTCCTTACTGTGTACACTCAGTTTGATATTCTGGTTTGTGCATTTTTTTTGGTTACAGGGCTGTGTGAGAGCTGACGTCCCTCTGTTACTCTTTGTATGGACGGACATACTCACGCCAGTAGGAGGGGATTGTGGGAAAGGGGGTGTAGCTCTCAGAGGGTGCACTCTACTCCTCTTGCTTCCCTTCTTCCCGCCATCACGGCCCTCTTTTCAGCCAGTCGTCCTGCCCAGCCGGCCCGTCCGCCCGCCTGCCTCACCACACACAGGCCTCAGGTACTTTTTTCACCTCTATCCCTGCAACACCTCTTCTTGTCCTACTTACTGTCCTGTAAATTTCTCTCCTGCAGTTTTCTCTTGCCTTCCTCTCTGTCCTCCATCACGGTCTCCCTCCTGTAAAACGTGTCTGCCGTCGTCGGTCGCCAACGCCGCACCGTTTTCGCCACACCACATCGTGCTCGCCACCATTTGGCCTAACGGACTCGGCGGCACAAACGTATTTCTCGAGCCGAGAGGCCAACTCCCCGCTGACCATCCTTTTTCTGCTGCTTACTTTGCCCCTTCTTCTTCTTCTCCCCCCCCTTCAAAGCTCCAGTAGACTCCGGCAGAGTGGTACACAGTCTCTCTGTAGCTTTCTTTAGTGAACAGGTGTCTGTTTGGAGGCTGGCATTATTAAGAGCGGGCCTTCTCGGTCACTCCTGACCTCAGAGGGTCAACTCATAGAGCTCAGGTCAGTAAAAGTTCAACACTGACCAACCAGAGAAAGAGCTTGTCTCTCGGCGCCATTTTGATAGATAGCCTAAAGATCATAACAACATAGTTTATTATTTTTCCCTGTAATCTGTGTGCGCTGTCTGCCAGGGACGGAATTAGGGTAAGAAGTGGCATTCCTCACAGCGACACGTGTGTTTGTGCAAACATGTGTTTAGTTTTATCTCTCTGCAAAGTAGGGGTGTGGCAGTTCGCTACAAGTCGGCTGTTTGTCCTGAAACAATGACTTAAAGCCGACGATACAGAGATGTATAGCATGCTTAAAGTTAGGTGGAAAACCAGGCGGAATCAAAACTAAGTTTAGGCAAAAAGTTGATATTAGTTGTCCGGTCAAAAAGATTGCAAAAGGTTGTCGACATTAAAGCAGAGGAGAGGATGCTTTTGTAGTGAAAAATGCTCTGGTTAAAAAAAGATTAGTTGTTTTTCCCACTTCCTGAAAATAGATAGGAATGATGCTTAGCTGTATAAAGATCACAAAAAGGCACCAAAGACAAGAATAGGTTATAAAAAAAGCGAATATCGAGCTACTTTTGACTTCGAGATAACTAAACAAGGGAATCAACAAACAGCTTTATCCTTTTATCAACATACTTGTAGAACTATATTGACATATTGGCATTTAAAGTTTCTGCTGTATTTAAAAATCTTATTGCCATACTGTATCTAGGTCTAAATAGAGGTTGGTGTTAAAATGGCGCCTATATGCCACGTGTAAACACGAGCAGACCCTTTCAACATGCCCCTCACAATTCGTGGGTAAGCTGCTGCCAGTTTCTTTTTATCAGACTTTGTCATTTCCCTTTGCTTCACACGATTTAAACTGCAGCCTAATGCTTAAATATGTTCATTTTTTTTCAAAAAGAGGAAGAAAATCTTTTATTCAGATACTGAAATAAGAAGAGGATTTACAGAAAGTATTTTGAGAAAAATAGAGAACAAGTTACAGTAGAGAGGCCGAAAGAGAGTGGTAGGAGTGGAAGAGCTCTTTCCCCGCCCCTCTCTTATCCTCAGATGAACTTATCATGTTGCCTCATAATGTTTCTGAGCTTTTTTTCTCCTAGAGGCAGTCAGGCTAACTTCCTGCATTCAGGCTCGGCTCAGTTGATTGGCTGACATGGTGGCTGACCAGCCATAGTTTGCAGCGAGGCAACAGGAAGTTTCTCTTCTTATGCAGGAAGCTGCAGCTGTTTCATCCTGACATACACCACTTTGCACGCATTTGAAAAAAAAGAAACACGCACACAAATCGTCTGCATGCTGTATATATTTGCATGTGTGGGGGAACTCAGGCTGCATGTGCATGCCTGTTTATAGAATTTGTAAATGTTACGTGGGCGTGTAAGGACACGTCAGATAAGGACTGTGAGCTATCAGAAACATTTACCATCATGGTAACTCCACATTGAAATAGGGAATAAAGCAAATAAAATAGAAAAATCCAAGAGAGGAACAGATGTGTAAATGGCAGAGGTTAAACAGTATTTTTTTGTTTTCCAATTCTGATTTGTAAAGAGAGAGGAAGGCCTTTTAAGAAACTAGTTATAGATTGCAAAAACGATTAAGAAAAAGCATATTTGGTCAGTGGTAATGTTTGATTCCTATTTTGCCAGTTATTAATGTTAATAAAAGGGCATTATTGGGTAAGAGATTATTAACCTTAAAAAAAGTACTACGCTACAAGTTTCAAACCTTAAATCCGTACCACGATAAGATAATTCTATCTAAAAAGATCTGGCTACTATTTTCTTACAGCTCTAATTTGTGGCTTTTTAGACCCTGCATCTTGACTATCGGTAGTTTTTGAGTCCAAACAACAAAAACCTCCAAACAACTGCATTTGTTTTCTTAAGCATGTAAGGAAACCTTTATTAGCTTCTTTTTAACCAGGTGACAGGTTGTGCATGGCAACAAGTGGAGGAGGGGCAGTACTCTATTGCTCTTTGATCCACAGAAAAAGCAGTAAAACACACTGATTGTTACTCTAAACACCAACACAGGGAGTGCTGTGTAGTTTTTGTCAGTTAGTTATTTTTGTGCCCCCAGATATAAAGATGGCTGCTCTAGAATCACATTTCAGACTGGCTGACAACACGTGTTTACAAAAACCGCCCCATAACTGAAAAACATAGTTTTAGCTACTAACAATATAGTTATAACTAACATTACTAATACTACTAATTTTAACCTTTGCTTTGAAGCTTAATTTTACACTTTATCACTTTGATTTATAGAATTAAGCAAAAATATAGACTAAACACCCGTTTGATATGATAGCAGGTTTTTACTGCTTGTGGAGAACTTTGTGCTTTCTTCTCATATCTCTAAATTAAAATGTTAAGAAAAAAATACAACGATCAGATTTATGGAAAGCAATATGTTGTTAGTTCAAACCAATCATACAGACAAGTCATTTAAGGACACTAACATTTGATTAGTAATAAAAAAAATTTTGCCAAGTACACTTTATTACTACAGCTACTTAGTTTTTTTCTCTTA